AAAAAAAAAAAAAAAAAAAAAAAAAAAAAACTCTAAAACAGCTAGCCAACTTTGCACCTGTAGGACGTGTGCTTGATCTTTATGGGTATCATTTTTTGATCAGTTTTTTTTTTTTTTTTTTTTTTTTCCAGCTATGAACATGTTTGCTTAAAAAAAAAAAGGTAGACCATAACTTCCCCCTTTTGGCATTTCCCCAAATGGGAAATTAAGGGAATACCGTCCTTTTTATTCTTCACCCAAGGTGAAAAAGGCGTTCTCGGGGGGAAGTGTGACCTCCGCACCAGTGTACACATGTGTTCGGTCACATGAGTATGTGGACACATGCGAAAATGGCCATGTAGGTATGTGTCCATGTAGGTATATATGGATTATATGTGGATGTGCCCCCCTAATAGTTCCACAGAAGAAGTTTTGTCGCCTCATCAATAGAGGTTCGTGAAAATGAAGAAATCGAATGAACCGACGGGGAGGGACAAACCAATCGTCCTCTTAACCTTACCGTGATGGTTATTTTTCACAAGGGTAAGCAAAAAAGACCAGGTCACAAATGGGACAAAAGAAAAAAAAAACAAAAAAAATTGCGCTCACAGTGGCACATGCGACAATCTCGAATGAACCTTTTCAGCTATGTACCTACTAAGGATGCCTCCCACATCACAATATCATCCTCCACTCTTGGTGAACATGTGCCTTGTGGTGACACGAATGAACAGCTAACTGGGCGAAGATACAGACAATTTCCAGTTCCCCCCTGCACACACTGAATTGGTTTATTCATTCATTCATTCATTCATTTTTTTAACTGTGAAAGTGTTTTCCCCCAAGTGAAGAAATTAAGTTTTTCCTTCACGAAAATGTCGTGTCACTCTCTTTGGCAAGCTCCCCCTCGATCGAGCTGCTACGGTGGTGGCTCCAGTGCGAATGCTCCAATCGTACTCCATCGTGTGGGCCAAAAAAAGAGGTTTTTTAAAAAAGGAGAGACACATCGTGGCGGTGGATATCTGATGGTGTAGACTACTGTTGTCTCATTACCACTCAGTTCATGAGGACGGACGCCCACACTCACGGTAGAGCCCTTTCCTTTAATGACCCCCCATTTGGACATTTTCCCCTTCCAGACGAAACGCGCTCCTCTCTTTCCATATATAATCGTGTCAGCACTTGCCACTTTCTTTGTTCATTTCGCTGGAGTTTACAAAAAAAAAAAAAAAAAAAAGTCCAAGTGAAGGTTGTCAGTATGTAACAATTCTGCGGGCAGTTCTTTCATCTTAAATGACAACCTTGTGTAAAGAAAGTCAGATGCATATGTACGTGGGTTTGATTAACCCTCCCCACGTAGGTTTCCTTCAATTGTGCTAATGGGGATGCACTTTTTAGAGGCTCCTTTTGCTTCCCATTTCATCCACTTGGCGATGTGAAGGCATTTTTTTTTTTTTTTTTGATTGATCGATCTGGCGTTTCCACCCTATATATAAATTTGCACAACTGAAGCAAAAAAAAAAAAATAAAAAAAGTGGAGCGTCCCTTTGGTGATTTTACAAATTTGAAACCTTACATCTTCCTAACACGATACCAATATAATGTGAAAAAAAGGGAATCGGCAGAATCTCAAGTCATTTTCAAATTTATTCCTGTAGGAAGGTGGAGGATTTTTTTTTTTTTATTGCCTCGTTCGGCCGTGGTGCGACCAAGCAGACATGCAGCCCAGTGTGTCATTCGCTTTCATATCCCGCGACGTGCGCGCACAGGGGGGCGGGGGGGACGGTGTACTCACGTAGGCAGTTACGTAAGGTTAACAGGTAGAAATAGTAGTAGTAGCAATAGCGGTAGCAATAGTAGTAGTTGTTAGTGGTCGCTGGATCGATTGGCGCTCCCCCTCCGGTCGCCCCTCCCCCGCCGCCGCAGCAGAATGGAGGAGAGACTGAACCTGTACTTCTACCCGCTGCAGAGACTCAAGATCTATGAAGAGCCAAACAAGGTGGAGGTGGCTCTGAGCCCCCTTAAGCAAACGGCGCGAGGAAAGGAGGAGGGGATAGCATCCTTTAATTGCAGACCCGTGGAAAACCCACACATGATATACGACTCGCTAAATTCAAACATACTCCATGAGATAAAAAATTTTTATGCTAGTGATAAGGTGTATCATGTGGTCGGCTCCAATTACCTTTCAAAGCCGGAGGAGAAGAATGGAAGCGAGGTGGACGAGAAAGGGGACGACAACGGGGATGAAGTGGAGGATGATGAGGAGGAGGATGAAGAAGAGAACGAGGAAGGAGACGAATGTTACTACACCGATGGGGATGCAAATCCGGAGGAATATGGCGAGGACCCATTTGGCGATGAAACCAAGTCAAAGAAGAGGGACAAGTCCTCGAACAGGAATGCGGGTCCCCGTTGCAGCGGAAGGGGTTCAAAGAGTCAGGATGTTAGTGAGAGGAAAAGGGCAATGCGGAGTTGTCTGGACTTCCTGCGCAGCTCGCGCAATTATGAAAAAGAAATACGACGCGACCACACCAGAGTGCGTGCATCACTTGACGTGGTTAACACCCTGGCCACCTTTTACATAGACAAAAGCATGCACCTGGACAGCAGGTATGCATATGACTTAAGCTGCAACGTCAAGTGCCCTGTTCTGGTGATGCCCAGTGGATTCTACAATAACGAAATAAAGTTAATGGAGACTCAAATTGGTGAATGTATATACGATGAGGGGAGCGGGAGAAGCGAAAAGGGGTTGCCTGCTGATTACCTACCTGTGAATCTGAAATTCTGCTTTGACAATGAAGTCACCATCGTGCCGACTAACCTCTCCACTGGAAACTACGACACAAACGAGAGGGGCCTTCTTCCCACCTACTATAGATATACGCAAAAAGTGAAGCTGGCAAAGGAGTACAATAGGAAACGCTCATATGGAAAAGAGTACAAGGTGGAGAACGACCATCTTTTGTATAAGCTCGAGAGAAACTTCACGGAACTGAATCAAAAAGAATCAATTACCCTTAGCAAATATTTAAGAATTAAGGAAATAAAAACAGACACGAATAATATTAACGAGTCAGTTGTGTATGCGAGGAATGACGTTGGGTTGGTCATTTTCCAAGTGCAATACTGTCCTGGGGATGGGTTCCATTGGGATGGTGCCCTGTGGAGGGGAAGTGGAGACGAGGACTCATCGCGTGATGAGTGTACTTCACATTCTTGGCAAGGCAACAAATGCAGCACTACTACACGTAGGTCATTGAGGAACACCAAAGAAGAGGAGGCGTTCCAAATCCTTAATTACAAAATAAAAATAGCCAAAGACATTCTCCTATTTGACAGACTGATGCAGATCTGTCCTAGTACGTGGACATACGGGAGGTGCACTATGTTGGGTAATTACAATAGTTTGTATTCCTACGATTTAGAAACTAATCTAATGCAAATCGTGGAGCTGAAACAAACAGGGGGATATTTTAAAAAGTACGATACTGCTTTGTGCTTGTGTTACCTTCAAGATGAAAATACTCTCCTACTAGGATGTCGCAGCTTATACATATATGATACAAGGGAGAAATTTTTGTCTAGGTTTAGTACAAGGAATAGAGGTGCGAAGAGAGTGTCCACGAGGACCGTCAGACAGAAGGCAAGGGATCATTTCTTAACAGGAATACCATTAGAAATGAAAACAAACCCAGAGAACGTATTTCATGAGGATAGGAACAGATCCCATTTTAATAGAAGTTACACAGCAGTTGCTAAGAACCCACACTTTTCCTTTATCGTTGCATCTGTTAATGCATCTTTTAATGTCATTGAAATATGGGATCTAAGAAATCAGTATGAACCCATTTTTCTTTTCCCACTTAACATTTCAGAATTTAAGGAGTCCTATTTTAGGTACATCGAATGGATCTGCATAACCCCCACTGGACAAAACATGTATGAACAAAAGACCAGCTACAATTTAATTACTTTTTCTTATTATGAAAATATGGTTTACGTCAGGCGCATTTTAATTCGTGATGATTTTACTTCGTACAAGGATTTAGGGATGGAGGCGTACACGAACCACTCCTTCAGCTTTGCGTATAATTATACGTTCAAGGGGGTCTCTCCTGGAGGGGCAGCCGACGCCTACGACGCGCACCACAGCGGCAACACGCATGACAGCGGCAACACGCGCACGGGGTATAGCTCGACAGACGCGGCCGACTGTCCCCCTCTGCCAAACTCACGTAACCATGCCGCTCAGCAAGAGGCCTGCAGGACGGAAGTGGACTCTGCCAAGGATGACCTCCGAGCAAACAACATGCAGATGCGACAGGACGTGTCCTTCAATCACATATTTAGTTACAAATCTGTAAAGATTCATGTAGAGGAGTCCCTCCTTGTGGACACAGCAAAGTTCACTCCCATGCAGAAGAACAAAACGGAGTCGATCAGACTCATATCGGATCATGCCAAGTACAATTCGATCAACACTAAAATGTATAATTTATTTTTTGGTGTGTATGGAATGACATTCGTGCAGTTGTGTGTGCCGGTTTTGTATTGTGCTAGGCAACCTGAGGGGGGGGGGTCTTCTCTCACACGGCGAGTACCTCCTTCACTGTCTAGTGCCGACTCTCGCAACCGATGCGATGGGACCCCCTCACCTGGGGAATATCTGGAGGAACGCTTCTACCTCGATGGGAAAAACACACGCACGTGGAATTACTTTGTGAAGAAAAAAAACCTCCAACAGAAAGCATATCGTGTGAAGAGGCAAGAAATTGTAGGAGTCAAATTTGATTATGTTCAATTTATTTTTCACACGAATTCTGCTGGGCAGCTCTTTTGTACTCCAATCAACTTATGTATGAAGAATTTACCTCAAGAGAAGACCAAGGAGTGGATTCCAGTAAATAAATCCTACGTGGCCAGCACCTACCGTAATGAGGGCCTGCCCGCGATGCTTAGCAGGTTCGCTGACCTGGTGCAGAATACGCGGCGGGGTGAGGTAACGCAGCAGCGGGGTGCAGTAACGGAGCCGTTACCCGACTCGTCGCCAACCCCACACAACTACAAACAGGAAGAGGGAGACGATTTTAATTTTCTCCATGTAAACGATTTTGAAGGGATCATTTCAAATGAGGTAGATCCCGTAGAAAGGGATACACATACCTGTGAGGGAGAGGAAGGAAGAAACAATGAATGGCTGGATGGGGGACACAAGAGCAAATTTAGCACCCCCGCCCGCCTCCACATATCCACTGCTCAAGCAACACAACCCATTGACTTCCTACATCTGAATAAGGACAACTGCGACATGTTAAAACATACGCAGTCTCAGTTTTGTAATGTCACTTATGAATTTTTTATTCACTTGTTTAAGCTAGTGTGTCGGGACAAAATTCTGATGGTGCAGAATAATACAAATGTTATAAAAGTAGCGAGCCTGAAAAAAGGGTGCCCATTAAGTAGAATGCTTGTCTTAAAGATTAAGGGGTGCCTTCAGAGGGAGCTCTCTTCTCCCCCTAACTCGCCACCCCCTCTCCGTGTTGAGGAAAATTCCGACCAGGTCTGTCACAAAAGGGGGAAAGCGAAGAGTGTATCCGAGGGTAGGCATTCTTCCTACTGTGACTCCTTCAGGGTGCCTCTCTCGACCCCAGACGTGGTTGCCACCCAGGATGGACCTAGTACTAGATTTGCCTCGTTAAGTCCCGCGCCTGCTAAGTTGAGCAAGGAAGAAATACCTAATGGAGCGAAAAAAATGACCAATCAGGATGCTTCTGCGCAGCAAGTCGGGGAAGGGAATTTACCTGAACGGGCAAGGTGGAAAAGCTTTACGCACGACGTCGCGAACAATATCGAGCAGAGCGTCATACAAAGGAGCGCCAGTGGCAAGACCTCCAAGCGGCTTCAGACGAAATCTGATTTGATTATCGAGCGGATGCAGGAGTGGACACGAGGAGGCAGAAAAGCGCAGAGGGGAAAAAACACCACCCATGGTACCACCACGCAAAAGAGAAGAAAAAGACGAAAAAAAAAAAAAAAAGCAACTTCCTCCCAATGCCGTAACAGTGAGACCCTCTGCTCCAAGCACAACCTTTATGAGCTTTTTGCAAAATATAATGTGAGAGCCGAATTTAAGAATGACGTTATGCAGACGAATCTTCTTCCCAATTGCAGCTACGTTAATGTGAATTACCTGAACAAGACATTTTTTAGGGAAAGGAAACATGCATTGTGCACATTCCATTTTAATAAATTTTTTTATGTGCAAACGATGGCCGATTTGAAATGGTCTGCTTATGGACTGACCGACCAGATGAGGAATCAATTTGTGCGGGACAGCTGTCCGTACGTGACCTTCTCGCCGAATTTTCAGCCCAGTCGGATACTCAAGGGGGCGCCCTCGGGACAAAACGGCGCAGAAGAGAGCGGCGGCGGTGTGCATGATCGTGTGCACGAGTTTTCTAACCACAACGAGAAACTCTTTTACGAACAGAGCGCTTTTAATTTTCCCGCATTTCTGCTAAACCTGCTGGGCGAGAAAGAAAGCGCCGCAACGGATCAGAGGGGAAGCATCACGCAGGGGCGTGGGGAATTGAACGAAAAATGTCAAGGCAACAAAGGTAGTGACAGAGTAGAAGAACAGAAAGGACCCCACATCGAGGTCAACCAGAATGACGCCCAATTCGGTCAGATCACCAACTTCCTGTCCCCAAATGAGGGTTACACATTTGACGCACTGGAAGAGATAAAGAGCCAAGTAGAAGAGGGAGGTAACGATTATCAACAGAGCGAGCCGCAAAGCAGTAGAAGCAATGTGAACCCCTTTGGTAATTTTGTTCAGACTGGGGGGGCAGAAGAAATTGGAGACTCCTACAAGCCCCCTCAAGAAGATATACAGCACATGAGAGTTACAGAATGGGGGGAAGATGCTAAACGGGGAGAAGTCAAACAAAAATACCCCCTGTCAGTCCTAACAAACGCACACAAGATGAAGGAGCTGCTCTGCCTGTACAACCAGGGAGGAGTGCAACACATACTGGATACAATGAAAAGAGCAAAGTTGGGGAAAAAAAAAAAAAAAAAAAAAAAAAAAAAAAACGAAAAGCGGTTAAAGAAACTCTGCGAGGATATCTCCAAAGAGCTAAACAAATGTGTGTCTGTAAAAAACTTCCTCTTCTACGATGCGCCCATTTGTTTCTGCCTGTATGGAAATGACCCAAATAATAAAAGGCAATACAACACCTACATTAATTCATATACGTTCCTGTTTGACGTGGTACGTTTCTTCGGTAACAATGTTGCTGTTGGGCATGAAATTGAGCGACTTTACCTGCATGGCCGTGTTCCCCTTATGTGTGAAGAGGACAGTGTTGAAATGGCAGCCCACTCCTTAAGTGAAGAAGGCGATCATAATGGGAAAAATGTAGGTACAGGGCCGTGTGCCCCCCAAGTTGATGAAACAGCTAATGAAGACCCCTTCTGGGAAGACGACCCCTTCGTGCGACTGAGACGTGCCCGTCGTATTAACCGTTTGGACAGCAGGGACGGACTCCCCAATTATGACCACTTGTTGAACAGATTCAAAAGGAATGGACTACTCTTCATGAGCAAAGACATCACGTACCAAACATTTCAACACATGTTGCAGAATGAATACTACATTCCTGTGCCGAAATATATGAAGAACGACATAAAAATGAAGGATGAGAATTTTCAGTGCACCCCAGTCAGCTGCTTTAAAAATCATGTCATTGCATTTTACAATAAAAAATTATCCGATGTGTACAATTCCATTGACTTTCGCGATTTAAAAAATTTCAACATGCACCAATATGTATACCACGAATATTTTAACCTTTCGGGCATTCAGACAGGCACCCCTGGAAGTGCTACTCTGAATAAGTACATAGACCATGGGGAGGGCAAGCATAGCACTTCCGCGGCCTTGGGTGGTTTTAAGGGCGGATACAAAATTGATTGCGCTCTGTTGAACAAGCTGTATAAGTTGTGGCCTAGCGAGTCCCACACTTGCGAATCGAGGCAGGATTACTTGGTAAGTTGTCACCACGCTTTGTTCATCGTGCAAACGAAAAAAAGAAGAAGAGGGGGAAAGAGTTGTACACATGCTTCTGTCATTTCGCGCGGCTCAAGTTACACCCCCGCTCCTGTGTGTAGCTACATAAATCTGCCCACTCGTGTGTGCAAAAAAAGTGGTCACCAAATTTTACCTGCACCGTTCAGGTATATTTTACCCATTTTGTTCATTTTGGTGGGGATTTCTTTCTTTTTTTTTTTTTTTTTTTTGTGCAGGAAATGATGAAGACGCTTGAAAACAGGAAAAAGGCTATCTTTCACAAGTAGTTTTTTTTTTTTTTTTTTCATCTGCAGAGAAAGATTAGACACGATGTGTTTATTCGAGTGGTCAGCTCCCTCCTTATGAGGACAAAATGTGTGTTGCATTTTTCCCAGTTCGTTTTGTCACTGTGCGATACAGTCTGCACAGGATGGATTACTTTTCTATGGTTATCATGTAGCTAGCGCTGGTCCTTTATGTAGATTGCAAAAGTGAGCACATGAGAATATTTCGCATGGTACATTTGTTTATTACACTGACTTCCCCTTCATTTTACTATTCCCTCTACACCTTGAACATTATATTCCGTCGTAGACTCCACTCGACGTACGTTCACTTTTGAGCCTTTCGTGTGTGCGCTACTCTCACACACTTTAAAAACAAAGGCTCATTTTCGTTTGTCAAAAAATAAGGGGTAGTTAAATTCGCTGCAGGAATTCGCCTTTCCTGTAAAAGGTATACCCTTTGTGCATATAGCGTACGTGCGTACAGGGGGTATAATAGCGTTCCCCCCCCAATTGGATATTTCATCCTCCTTTTTAAATAAATTTAGACAAAGATTATTAGTTAAAAAAAAAAAAAAATAAATAAAAAAAAAAAAGGCTAATTTTTTTTTTTTTCTTCTTTTTCATAATGTACTTTAAACCTTTTGTTTATGTACACATAAACATATGGACTTATATATGCATGCGTCTGTGCATATACGAACGCGTTTAGATATGTAAAAATAAGGGGTTGTTGTAAAAATTGGGTGCGCAAATCGCATGAAGGGGACATATGTGGGCGCACGTGCATGGATGAACGAATGCTCATGCGCATTTATATATATATACACACTTTTAAACAAGGGGAAAGAGAGGAAAAGTGCGGCGGTATGGAAGATACATATGGCGTTTGTCAAACCTGGCGCGATGCCTATCATTTATGGTCACCTCCTCCGTGGTGCCTCGATTGCCCTACTTATATGGCGCCAAACACATCATGTAAGAAATTGCGATATCCACTTAAAGGCCGCTGCGTAACCCATCCTTCTTATGACACTACACATGAAGAGCTCAACTGGCCTCACCCCTGAATTTCCTTTCATGTTGTGGACAGTCAAATTGGAAAATAAATTTAAATGCTGCCTTAATTCATCTTCGCTAGCTGCATCAGGTTTGTCAATTTTATTTCCTAGGATAACAAAAGGGACGTTACTTAATTCTTCCGTTTCGAGGAGGTGCTTTAACTCCTCTCTGGCCTCATCAAATCTAGACCTGTCTGTTGTATCAATCATAAATACAACAGCGTCCACCGCTGCGAAATAATCCCTCCAGATTCTCCTGGCCGTTTCATGTCCTCCAAGGTCAAATGTTTTGAATTTTATTTTTCCCACAACTAGTTCTTCTGAATGGGGGTGCAGCGTGGGTACGTGCTGGGCCACCCGGTCGTCTTTTAGCATGTGCAAGAGAGTTGTCTTCCCGGCGTTGTCCAGGCCTGCATATGGGGGGTGTCACAAAGTGGTGATTAAAATGGGGGGGGGGGTGGCTTAGAAGTGCGCATGGACAGAAGTGCACGCACGGGCTGCACTCAACTGAAGAGGAACACCACGAGCAACAACACGTGGAGTGTTCACCCGTTTAACCTCTCCAGTCCCACATTACTCATCATTTATCATTCACTGTCGCTACTCAATCTGCGCAGCGATGGGCACATCTCCGTTCTCTGGGGAAGCCTGCCACAGTGCACCCCGTTCCGCTTTGTCTTAAGCATAAACACATGTACATATGTACATATGTGTGTCGGCAATCTCCATACGTGTGTGTACATATACGCACACCCCCTCAAGCGCGTTGTGGCCATACCTAAAAATAATATCCTTGCACTCTTGTGTGATAGGCCCAAATGTGCCAAGATGTCCCTAAACCTACGGAGGGGAAAAAGAGAAAAGGGGGGGAGGTGTTTAAAACGGGAGACGCGCAAGGGTATGAGACGGGGCGGATGTGAAGAAGCGACAAGTGGTAATGCTGCTGAACGCACAAACGTTCAATCGAACGAACAAGCAGAGGGAACATATTTTCCACCCGCTCCTTCTCATATGCGTTTTTGCCTATCCACTCTCTGACTAACCAATTTATGATGAACATTTTTAATTATTCTCATGAACAAGGTTATATATTCTTCTTATCGCCTGTTATTTTTATTTATTTATTTTTTATTTATCCTTTATACTTCACAACATGTATTTTATATTATCACTTAAAAAAAAAAAAATGTTAAAACCTATATGTATATGCTTATATGCATACACTCGTACATGTAAACATAAAACGAAAAAAACAAAAAAAAAAAAAAAAAGAAACAAAAACTTTATTTTGTCACATTACAAAAGCAAAACTTTTTTTTTTTCTCAAATTTCCATTGTTATGCTGGTCGGGGAAACTTATTCAGCGAAATTGAAAAGGTTAAAAAAAAAAATGCAAAAAAAAAAAAAAAGGGGGGAAAAAGGCTATAAAAAATGAAGGCTCAAAAATATAGGCTAAAAAAAAACAAGAGGCAAGAAAAAAGTGCCAAAAAAAAAGGCAAAAAAAGGCAAAATTTAGAAAATTCAACAATTCACAATTCCTAAAGGGTGTTATGGGTGAACCAAGTCAAACGTGAAGAGTTAGAAATCCACATCGACCAGCTTGCGTCCCTTTGCTGCTTCGTGCCCCCACTCATTCGCCATCGCAGTTCGGCCTCTGTCACTTCTTATATGTTACAACGTTTTCTCGCATGGCCTATTGCAGGCGTAGCGCGCATTTGATATGAAGGTATGTATATATTTTTGTATGGGGACGTGTTAAAAGTATGTACTGCGTTAATTAAGCTGAGTACGTAAAAATGGGGTAAAGTATATAATTTCGTACTGCGTATGCGGCGTTCAATATGTGCCCATTCACTTGTGCGCGCTTATTAACCACGCGCTGTGAGGATGTATATACTGCTGCGTTATCCATTCGTACCGTATGTACATATGCCCATGTTTAACCTTCCTTTGCAAAGGCCGCTCAACTTTTTTTTTTTTTTCTGCCTATTTTTTACATTTTTAAATGTGAAAAAAACATTTATCAAGTTATTTCTCTCCTTTACGAATGAAAAAAAAAAAAACATTCGCGCGAAAACTCTCCCGTTAATTTATGCATACCAAATTGGGTTGAAGTAAATGCCGACATTTGTGTGAAACTTTTTTTTTTTTTTTTTTTTTTTTTTTTATTTCTCCCACCTTGTCGCCTTTACCGCTTACAATTGCTAGCTTGCCATCCGAAAAAAAAGAACAAAAAAAAAAAAAAAAAAATAACGCTTGTATGTCCTGGCCAGGTCCCGCCCAACACATTTTCTTTTCTCCACCTGTCCGTTTTCCATGTAAAGGTTGGAAACGGACACGCCGATTGCACATGTGTATTTTCGTTGTACCCGAATTTATACCTGATCATACGCGTGCGCGTGTCCACATGTGCACATGTTTTTTTCCCACTTTGTTGCACGTAAAAAGTATAAAAGGGAATTCCCTTTCCCCCCCCCTCCTCTTAATTTATCCTCCTCACATTTGTGTAACGCAAAAAAAAAAAAAATAAAACACCTGCTCTCACCAAGGCCATTCCGTATGCACCTTTAAGGGAACCCCTCAAATTGTGGAAATTGGGCACTTGTGTGCATGGCTCCATATATTTATTTTCCCCCGTAGCAGAAAAAAACAAAACAAAAAAAAAAGACATTTCCCCAATCGGAGGATGGACAAAAAAAAAAACAGTGTTGTAACGTGTGTGACAAATAAAAAAATATTAATGTATGTTTGTTCTCCGACCGGAAGTTCCCGCTTTAATAATCAGCATATAAACAGGACACCACATTTGTAACGGAATAATTGTAGCGACGCACCTGACTGTCCATTTTAACCCCTGCGGTATGTAGCTACCCGTAGCAGTGACGCAACAGTTATCCAAGTCATATTTACAAAGTGTGAAGGACGCGTAAAGAGCGCACCGTCTTGTGCCAAACGCAAGGAACCATGGGAAACGCATTACTAAAGGAAAAACCAGCCGACGTGTTTAGAAAAAAAGGAGACATTTTAAATCTACGGAACTTAAAGGCTGTGCATGTCGAGAGAGTGTACCCTCCGCTAAAAAAATCAAAAAAAATTTCCGTGTGCAGATGTTGGAAATCGAATAACTTCCCATATTGTGACAATGCTCATCAGAAGTTGCAACAGCAGGGGGTCATTTGCGGCCCACTGCTTTTAGAAGTTCGACGAAGTAACAATGCGCCTTCGTAAAAAAGGGCGCGCCAAAACGGAGACCACGTACATAACGATGTAACAATTTTGTAAAACGACCAAGTTACCCGTTCGCCTCGTCTAAATCATGTTTTGCCTGAACGGTTCAGGTGACAGTGGAAAAAAAGGCGACATTAATCTCAAGAGGCATATGGGAAGAAAGTTCCCGAAGGCTCGAATTTAGTGCTGCGTGGCGCAGTATGATCTAACTTAATTCAAGTTCATTCATCTTAATTAGAAACCTGACAAACATAATTTACTCCTTTTAAAGCTTTCCGAGTTCGTTGTCACTTTTTCTTTTTTTTGTTTTCCAAGCCGTTGCCTCATTCAGACAAGGCCTCAACCTTTTTGCGCATGGTCATTTTGCGATACTGTGTTGCACAGGTGCTGGCATAGGCTCAAAATGGATCGTCACAAAATGGATTTGCGGCAATTCGGTTTGCTCAAATCGCCGCTGTAATTTTACATAACAGTTTGTGGGGAGGCAAGTTCGACAAAAATGCTCATTTCGCAAAATGCGTTAATCACATAAACCAAGTGAAGAATTCACCAGTTGTAACGTTAGCGCATTTATTGTGGAAGACGTAATTCAATCAACCTCGTGTAATTGCGCCGCATGATACGGCAAAAAAAAAAAAAAAAAAAAAAACACATGAACATTTGCACACTGGCTAGCTGTGCCCAATTTGGCAACATATGGGATTGGCGGTGGATTCCCTTAATTAGTGTATCCCCTGCATGCGCGATGCTGTTTTTTTTTTTTCACGGAACGTTGCGTGTTTTTAAATGTGGTGACCATTTTTGTCTATTCCACCTGTTCAAACACGATGGAGACGTCCAACAGAATTATCTTGTGAAAAACGGAGCAGTCGTAAAACCGGTCCATGATTTCATCAACCGCGTCATCCACTGTAACAACATGTGGCATACGACTCGCCTCTTTATTTTCGTCTACTAAAACATCCAAGTGATAATTCTTCACAACATTCATAATGTCCAAATTCATTTCCTTTTCAATGTAATTCGTGCTGTAATTAGCCCCAAAGGAACTAAAAATTTCGATAATAAACGGAATTTTTGGTTTCATTTTGACTTGTAATTTTACACGGACTTTCTTTTTATCCAACGTCTCGTACACACGTGTAAACTTTTTTTGAATCGGAATGACTCTGATTATATGAACTTTGTACTTGAACGGATTAAAAAAAAACGTCATCAGATCGTCATAAATGTATGGCAATACTGTGGCGTCATTTTTGTTTTGCACTAAACATATATACCCCTCTGGTACTTTCTTAAATGTGCAATAGCAGAACAAGGAAGTGAGTACACACATGCTTAACAGTTTGAGACTTTTTGCACACCGTAATTTTATCTGGTCATGTGGTTTCCTCTCGTTTTCGTAAACAGGCTCCTCCGCATTGCGCGTCAAAGCGACATCATGATCATCATCATAATTGTGATGGCTAACCTTTTGGGCGAAATCTGCATTTAGGACGCTGACTCGCGTTGGGTCTTCACTTGCATATTTATTAATTCCATCTTTTATATGACCTGCCGAAAAGTGTTTGTTCTTCTCTCTGCCCTGTTTTTTGGTATTCACTAGCTCTCGTACACTGTGTGCATACCATTTTGTGCCCATTTGATGACTGCCTCGTATGTACCATTTTGCATAATTTTTGAAGAGGAGCAAATTCCCTTTCATTTTGGCTGCAGAGACTTTGGGGGATGACGCAGTCGTGTGGGGCATCCCCCGGGGGGGCTCATTTCGCGTTGTCGTTTGTGTAGCTCACAGTGTATGTTATGGTCCATATGCTCGTATATGTCCTCATTTGAATACGCGGCATAGCAGGAGAGGTACTTCTTGTTTGACTACCTTACCACAATGTTGGCTTCTACCTGGCGGACATTTTCAAAGACATTTTTTGTTGACTCACCGTTTTGGAGCAAAAAAAATGTAAAAAAAAAAAAATGATTAAAAAAAATATGAACAGGCAAGGTAAAAAATTAGAAAAAAAAAAAAAAAAAATACCTTGCTCAATTCTCAGTTGCCATTTGTTCATCAATTTTTTTTTTTTTTTTACCCTTTTGTAAAAAGAGGGAAGCCTTGACAGGGAAAAAGTTACAATCGGAGTGGACTATTCCGAATTACACTCTCTTGTACGTGTTGCCCTATTACAGCTTTTTTTTTTTTCCTCTGCAAGTTGGTACATTTATATACGTATCTTTACATGCACATCGTATGACGGCGTCAAGTGGGGAAGCGTTCTTTTTTTTTTTCATCCCTTCGAGGCGTTGGCTTCATCCGGTCCAAAGGAACGGCCCTCATAGGGGGGAAGGTAACCACGTGCAGTTAGGAACCATTTAAGGAGAAGCGAATTCTTTTTCTTTTTTTTTTTTTCTCAAATTGATGGGGACTTACATTAAAATGCATAAGCATGGGGAGTGTGGGATTGGGGACAAAAAAAGGCAGACCTCAGCGGACAGGAAGATGTCAAAATGGATTAGTGACACACTGGGCAAAGGAAAATTCGCCCTCGCATATGAACAGAACAAACTCATAGTTTTTTTTTTTTTTTTTTTATTCCTTACATGCAACTGCAGCGAGGGTGTATAAATGGAGAATTGCATTGTTGACATTTGCCCAATGAACAGGTCTGTCGACCACTTGAATTAGTTCGCCCTTTAAAACATGAGAAAATATACACATATTTGTTCAGAGGGTACAAAAGGATGAGGAATCATGTTAGCGTAGGTTACGGGTGTTCCTATTTCCCTTGTAGGAGAAGTGTACGCATTTTAAATTGCAAAGAGGGTGTGAGCGGCAGGAGCGTGTTATTAAGTATCCCTACACGCACTGTCACATCACAGCATCCCCATTTGTACATCATTTCGACTTCTTATGTTCGCCCCCTTGTGGGCATCCTCCAATTTAAGAGACCTTCCCTCTGACAAGGCTGCACGCACATAATAAGCATGGTCTTTTTTGTGCAATTCGCGCGGGCATTCTTCTCTTCGCTCCTATTATAACGCTCATACGGAGGAGAGAAAAAAGAAAAAAAAAAACGCATACTTTTTTATGTGCACAAAAATGGCTTTAAAAAGGGGCCAAGTACAATTCGACAAAGTTATACACTCGAACTTGTTGTGACAATTATTGTTCAATCACGCATTTTCACGAAGCCGTTCAAAGTGTATACCCCTCAGCGTGTACTTTTTTTGGAGTCCCTACTCGTACGTGCGCCCCGTACGTAGAAACAAAAAAAAAAAAAAAACGCATTCGCTGTACGCAATTTAGATTTGCTCAGTGATGAAACGAAACGCAAAAAAAAAAAAATATTACTCTCCTTTTTTTTTTTTTTTTCGCGAACGCTACTCGTTCCTCGCATTGTCTTTATTTTAGCGACCATGTCAAGGATCACCTCAAGCATCATTCATCTCGCCTTTTATGTCACGTTTTAACTTTTTTTTTTTTTTTTTTTTTTTTTTTTTTTTTTTTTTTTTTTTTTTTTTTTTTTTTTTTTTTTCTTTTCACTCTTTTATGGGGCTCTTGCTTTTTAGTTCCTTTTAGAAAATATTTTTATTCCCGCCAAAGGAGTACATGTGTATATTGGAGATCATTCGTGCAAAATGCATGTGGGCTTGCGCGCCTTTTTCTTCTCATTGTAAGATGGGGGAAAGAGCGCAAAAAAAAAAAAAAAAAATGACTGCCATGTTTTCACTCGTCCATCAAGGCAAGTACACAACTGCACGAGTTCGTTTGTTCTAGTGTAACTGACGGGAGCACGCGAAAGTACACAAAGCATTGTGCATATAAGTGTACATATAAGTGTACATATAAATGTGCATACAAGTGTACATGTGCATGTGCATGCTCGGCCCTCGGTAGCTATTCATTTGCGTCGCGTAACGAGATCGGGGCGCAGTGTTAAGCAGTTCACGCTTTTGGCTTATAGGTGGGTGGGGACCTAGTACAACTCCAGCGCGGTGCGCATTGTGTGATTTTCATCGTGCGGTTCCCCCCTTTGTCATTTTGTGAATACCCTGTTGCCTTTCCCGCCACCCCTTGTCTCCTCCGGGACGCGCTTGGCAGCACATGGGAGAGTGCAAAAAGCAGGTGCACCCCCTCTGCCGTTTTTTAACCCCTCTGACATTTGCACGCTTCTCTGCGGAGTATTTGCACAACTGACGCAGTCTCCCTGCAAGTTTAGAAGAAAGCCCGTTCCGAGTTGCCTCCTTTTTATTCGTGTTACAATGTAACGACAAGGGAAGCGGTAGCATCATCGCACGAGACAGACAAGTATAAATCAGTTGAGACACAAAGAGGAGAGGAGTAGGACCAGTTGAATCGAGTCAGCAGAGACAACACAACGAAAAACACTCACACACCGCAAAATGATCAACCTAGATATTGCAAATCTGAATGATGTGAATTTAATATTAGAACGGTTTGAGGCACACGATCGATACCTCGAAGCCAAAATTGAGTTGTTCGAAGAAATTGACCAGCCGCCCCACAGTTACAGCGCCGGTGTAGGTGCGAACCTCACGGGGGACGGCAGCACGGGCAAGGAGGTTACCCCCTCGAGTATACAAGCGCCCACAGCAGCTGCTGGCTCGGTTGGCGCGTCGGCAGACACCACGAACACCACCGACTGTAGCAGCAAACGCGGGGCACACAAAACCTCCATTAAAAAAAAAATACCAGAAGTCATAAACACAAAGGAAAAAAAAAACATTCTCACAAACATTGTCAACATATTAAATTATGTGTTCCCAGATTACGAATTCAAATTTTTAAGTAAGTCCAACTTGAAGCAAATAAAAAATATGAACACGGTCATAGACAATATAAATTATAATTTATTTTACGTCATTGAAAATATATATCGTGGTTTCAACAAAAGGATATGGAAAATTTTAAAAGAGTTGATTGATTTTAAACATTGTGATGTGTACACTTACTTGAACGACACAGACAATGATCCCTATGTAGACAAAGAAAGCATTTCAAGTTTTAATTATTTTTTTTTCGCTAAAAAAAATAAAAGAATTCTCTTCATTTCGTGTATTACCAAGCCAAAATATAAACACCAAAATGATGAAGATTTTAATAATATCTTTTTAGGCATTCAAGATGAACCCTCCATTAATAATCACAATGCATATGACGAGGAAAATTCTTCAGGGTAGCAGGACTCCTCCCCTCCCGTGTATGTGTCTTTTTTTTTTTTATGGGCTTTTCTTCTTCCACCGACTGTGTCGTGGTTGGGAGGAGGGCACATGGTCGGCCGCCACATCCTCCCACCAGGCAAGCAACTACTCGTGTAACTCTTCGCGCACCTGTCTCATGAACAACACACATTTGAAAAAAAAAAAAAAAAAAAACGGTTAAGTGAAATGTGTACACACATATATGTATAATTGCCCCTTTGTGAAGAATGTTACAAATGTAACACAAACCGACTTGTTTTTTTTTTTTTTTTTTTTTTTTCGTGGCTTGGGGGAAGGCAATCGCTGCCGCTTCACATGCGTTTTTCGTTACATGCCCACACCAATTGATGTGTGTAGGTCGGGCATTTTCCTTCCACCTCACTGCACTCCCCATGAGCGCCACCGTGGGGGTGAATCACGCGAATGGGCGAGAACACTCAGGGCAAAATGTGCCGCAAAATAACCCACTAAATGAAAAACTCTCCAATGATGCCTTTTCCCGTTATCTCACCTTTTTGTAACATCGGGCATTTCCATTTCACGATTCCACCTGCTACTACAATGGATATAGGGACCTCAATTTTTTAATCGTCCTGCGTGTTTGGAAGGGCAAGTATATGGGGTGTGTTAGATGGGGTACCTCACACGCAGAGCAGTGGCTGCAGCATTGTTATTAGGGGCCTCCACCTATATGCTAAATGCGTCGCCCCCACGCATCGTTACTCACCTGTAGTAGACCCTGCACTGCTTTCTCCAAAGCTTGTAAAGCTCCTCCTTCACCTGAAAAAAAAAAAAAAAAAAAAAAAATGGGCATTGCGCGCGTATCGCTCTTCATGTGCGCAAATGTGAGAATACGACGGTGCTGAGCGCCTCCGCCTCTCTCTCCCTCTACATCCATCTGTGCATTTATTCATGCGTGTATATGGGTGTATGTATGTGTGTATGTGTGCGCTTGTCGCTCGCCCTTACGTAGTCCTGGAAGACGTCGCTGGCCATGCAGTTCATATTTTTATTAATTAAATTTCCAATGTAGTCATTTTTAATTCTTTTCTTAATCTTGATTCGCACATCTTTGCACAGATCGGAGGACTCGAAATGCTCCATCGAATTGAGGGCCACGGGGCTTTCATTTTTCTTTTCCTTTTTCCTAACGCTCGAGCTTTTATCTTCTCCAACATCAGTGTAGCACGGGGCAGGGTGGGGCAACACACCGGCTAACATCAACGTTTCAACCATACGAGTAATCTGTTTATGTGTCTCTTTGCATACCTTCATAAATTTTTTTTTATCCAATTCAACATACTCCTTTTCAATATTTTTTTCTTTTAAATAATCACTTGGGTACAGGATGGTGGGGTTGAGAATCCTCAAATCGATACACATCTTAATGGTGATGATATCCCTTAACTGGGTGAATGAAACGGCTGGATCCTCCACGGTAATTTCTTTAACATTTGAATTCACAATTGACAAGTGGTAAATTTTTTCCAGCACCTTCATCCCTAATCCTTTGCTTTGCATGGGCGGAAAAATTAAAAACTGAGAAATTCTGTTTCGGTCAAATTGGAATGTGAAAAAGGTGTAGGTGGTGGCCAAACCGAACAGGTAAAAATAGTATAGGCTCTGTTTTTCATTCGCATTTTTATTCATATTTTCATTCGCACTTGCATTCTCATTTTTACTTGTTTTTTTTTTATTTTGTCTGTCTGGCTCATTTGTAACGCCTTTCACAATTTCTCCCTCCTTCAGGGGTATTTCCTTTCTCCCTTTTGTCTTCTTTTCTCCCTTTACATCAGTCACTGCTTGCACATTTTCTACTACCCCTTTGGTCGCTTCCCCCCCGCTCTTCTCCAAATCGGAGTACAAATAAACGACCTCGTAATTCTTGTGGAATGCGTAATACTCCTCTTCTTCCTTACTTCGAACATCCTTCAGTGTGTTTTCAATCGCTTTAATGACAATCTCGCTGGTGAGGATATACTCGCTTGGGTCAAACATGGATTCCATTTGTTCATCTTTGCAATTCGGTTGAATTTTATCTCCTTCTTCCTTAATGTTATCCTTTACGTTTTTTTTTCCCCCTTTCATTTTGTTCTCCTCGCTTTCCTTCTTCACCATTACTTCGTGCTGCTCGGCTTCTGCCCCATCCCCTTTCTTCCTTTTCTTAACAACTTCACCCTGTTCCTTCCTTGCGCTTGCTTCATCTGATGCTCCTCGCTTGAGGTTCTTCTTCATCCCAATCTCTACATCCTGCCCATTGGGCAGAGACGACTCTTCCTCCTTCTTCACTGCAACACATGGAACAGACAACGACTCCAACTTTATACTAGGACGTATGTTAACATTAGAGGTTCGGTTCTTCAGTAGCTCAACGTTTAAATTTTCAATGAACTTATTTTGCGCAAATTTGTTCTCCTGCTCATCATGCTTAAACACTATGTAAGGCAGGATGACGCTCCACCGATAATCATATTCAATGTTAGAGGCGCTTTCGATGAACCAGTGGTAGAACCACTCCACTTTTCTATGGAGTAACTCAAAGTTTTTCTTCACTGTGTAATCGTACTTTTCCCCAAGGACTTGTTCAGCAGGTTTTTTTTTCTTCCGTCTGTTCGTTTCTGCCTCATGAGGTGGGTTCTGGTCCATCCGAGGCGGTAGCGGAGACTCCACCGACTTCTTTGCAGAAGCACCCTTACTTGGCGTCGTTCGCTGCTTGGGCGAAATTTCTTTCTTCACTAAACTTCCCTTCCTTGGAGAAGTGGAGTGGACAGCCGCTGCCGACTCGTTCACCGGATCCACGTCGGCGGCTGCACCTGGTTTGCTCGGGGAGCCCCCCTCCTGCCGCCACGACCCAGCAGCATGTACAGAAGCATGTACAGAAGCTGACACAGCAACGCTTCCCGGTGCAGACCCTACAGAACCGTTTTGCTTCTCCAACTCTTTCCTACCGGAACATTTCTCCTTCAACATGTCACCCTTGGCGATGACACTGCTGCTTCTCCTCTTGGCCCTGACGACGCGCAAGTAGTGGCGGTAAAGCTTAGACATGTCCCTCTCTGTAACATATTTCGTGAGGTTCTTCTTTGCCTTCTTCGATTCAACAAGGGAGTTATCATTATCACAAGCGGCGTCGTCACTTTCACTTTTGGGGGGATGATCCTCCTTTCCCTTTTTTATATTGTCCTTGTTGAATTCGATGGACATGGTGCTACTCTCACAATTAGAATCATTAATATTGTGTTTTGGCGTAGCACCTTCATTCCTGTCGTCACCATTCCTGTCGACACCATTCCTGTCTGCTTCACATGACTCATTTAGAAATCCTCCCTTCTTCACATGGTCCTTATCATGTTGATTTACGGGCGTGTTGTTAATTTCTCCTCCTTTGGTACTCGCCTTATTCTCACTCTTCGTGTCCTTAACTTGGCTCCCCTTTTTGTGTTTACCATTTTTGTCACTTTTGGAAGGGGTACAGGGTTGACCCTTAGAGGGGGTTATTTCATTTTTCACAAAGTTGGTATTTCCATTTTGAATAATATTTGCAAATCCGTTGTGATAGACCCCTCCCCCATCTTGTCCCTCCCCCTCTTCATGATCGTCCTCCTCAAAATCATCATCGTCTTCATCGTCTTCATCATCGTCGTCCTGCTGGTCCTCCTCCTCATCCATGTCGTTGGCGTTTTTTAATTTAAAATAATCTGAAGAGAATCCACATTTCCTTATTTGCAAATAAATATCATCACTGAGTTTTTTTTCATAAATGATAAACCCGGGTGGTTTGTAAATTTTGTCCTGAGTTAGTAGTTCATCACTTTGTTTGCCCTCACCTGTACCTTGTTCATTTTTCACCTCCCCTCTACCCTGTTCATTTCTTCGAAGAATTTTTAGAAACTCCTCCTCCGTTTCGATGAACCCACCTGGGTACGGGGTCGTAATGTACAAGCTCTGCAACAACATCAACATGATGTAGTTTGAATTTTCATATTGATCACATATGGATCCGCTTATTTTCATAAACACTTCGTAGCTATCACATGTGTAATAGAAATCAATTTTGAGACTATCGAACCCGATGACCTGAATGGGGGGAGAAGGGCAATGTGCACACACACGTAAACACATACATTTATATTATAACACACGCGTGTGCTGCATCCGTTTGGGGAATCGCTTTGTTGCACCACTTTGGTGTGTAGCGCGTCTTTTGCGCGGCTGTGTTCGACCCACCTGCTCGCTGTCACTAAAGAAGTGGTGCGTGAACAAGGGCTTGAAGGAGTACGTGTTGTTAAAATAATCTTGGCTCGAAATGCACGGGTGAAACGTTATCGAATTGATAGCATTTATTTTGGGGATGCAAGTGTACGTATTTATGGAGGGGAAAAAATTTAAAGACAAATTCTGCAAATCATTGGCGCAATTTTTTATACAATTGTAATACTCCCTGTCCATTTCTTCATTTTTACTTTCCTCCGCGCTACCTATGGATGGTCTGTTGCTGCACTTGGCCTTCATCTTAACGGACTGTTGTGTGTGTTGTTGGGCAAAAAAAAAAGGCACACCCTTTCGATATAACTCTGCTTATAAGGGGTACTGCTCATCACGCGCACTGAAATTAACAATGCAACTGTTTCCCGGCTGATGGCTTCGTGCTACAGAACAAGAGCAGAACATGCGTCGAACCTCGGGCTCCCGTGACAACGCTTACACACATATACAACGCATAGCATACGGATGTGCAACAAATGCGTGTATACAACAAATGCTCGTACAACATATGCTCGTACAACAAAGGAGGAAAAAAAAAAGAAACATGTGCTCACATTACACATGTGTATAGTGCTTAACCCTATCACACATACCAGTACGCATGCGCAGCCGTATAAAACAAACGCGCACGCAAAACTACGCGTATGCATATGCGGAGGGATGTTTTGCCGCACAAAAATGTAATGACGCAGATTTGTGAAATTATGGTAAATGAACTTCATGCGCAATGCCTCGCAGGGCAAAATGAAAAGCGAATTTTTAAGAGCGGTAAGGCCAGAAATGGGGGTGAAAAAAAAAAAAATATACCATAACAGGCCAACATGCGAACAGGTAAAGCGTCGAATGTCGCCTCGGGCTTACGCCTTCCTCTGTGTGACAAAGAAAGTAGGTAAGTGCCCCCCCTTTTCAAAATGTTCCTCAACGGTAAAGGGGCATTTTTTTTTTACGTTCGCGCAATTTACAGGTAGAGAAAAAGAACGGGGGTTTACCAAAAAGTGAACAAACTGGATCCAATGCGATATAAAAACGCGAATGGGGTGGAGTTGCGGCAAAGGTAACCAAACCAAACGCGTAATTTAGCTCACAATGAAGCTTCGCATGTGGCCATTTCAAAAAAAAAGGGTTATGTTCGGGTGAACATGTGCATGTTCGTATGGGCGTATGCCTTGACTGCAGTTGGTAACGTTTTCCCTTCTGAGCGGAGTGTGCTTTCCTTCGCGCAATGCGTGTTACCCCCCTACTCCCACACGCCATACCAAGTGTTACATAATTTTACACCGAGGTGTTTCTCCCCCTAGGGCTATTACACTTGTGCAAAATAGGCATAATTTTATAAACATTCCCTACACATCTCTTTTTTTTTTAAGCATGAGAATGTGCATAAACGTGAAGAGGGTTTAGCGGTTCGTGGAAAATTGCGCAAACAGGACAAACCACTTTGAAAAATAATAAGTTGTGTTTTTCTAGCCATAACAATTTTGTGCAACTTTTTTTTTTTTTTTTTTGTCCTGCACATTACAAAAAAAAAAATACTTTTTACAGCTGCTACATTGTCACTTTCGCAGCACTTTTTAATGCTACTAAATATTTGAAGTTTCTCTTTTTCCGTTTTTTCTTGCCTGAACGGTTCATATAAAACAAAACCCGTCTCGTTTGCAACTAAATTTGGAACTTTGTTAATAATTTCGCTACGTTTGGGGAAAGGAATGCAGATTAGGTTTTTTTTGGTTAAAACGAAAATGTATGCAACAAGGTCGTGTAACACCCACTTGCGTGTCAAAGGGGGAGAGAATTAGGAAAAGGATAACATCAGAACAAATTATGCACAAAAAAAAATTGCAGTGCATTTTCGAGCTTTTTTTTTTTTTTTTTTTTTTTTTTGTTCATAATTTGTCAGACTGATAAATTGTCAAATTGTGAAGTTGTCAAGTGGCTAAGCTGCCAAATTGTATTTATTCCATTTTTAATTTTCTACTTTGAACACACATTTTGAATAATTCGTCAAGGGCGCATAAATTGGCGAGAACTTGCGAAATGGAAGGAAGGAAAAAAGAGAAAGAGATGGAGATAGAACGATAACTTAAGCAACTAGTTTTTTTCATGCAAAAGACCTGCAACTGTTCCCCCTTACATGTGTAACTATTGTATTTTATTGATTTTAAAGGTAACTTTGTGAATGACTCTTTTAAATTTATTTTATGCCATATGGTCCTCAGAGAATTGTGTGTTTTTTTTTTTTTTACCATCTTTGTATAAGCTAAAACAAGTGTGCGTGAAAAAAAAATTGACATTCACGTATAAGTAAATTCATTATTTGCAATGTGCTGCAATGCAATGTGCTAAGATGTATAATATGGTGTGACGGAAGGCATCCATAACCCACTCTCCTTACACACATTTGTACATTGCCCCATCCCACCCTCTTGTATGCACATTTTCGTGTGCTCGTGCGGGGACAAATGTTTTTCCCCCCTAAACCCGTTGCCTTCCGTATGGTGTAGCTATGAAATGTGTACTTTGTGAAGATACACACAACAACAACACTTATCATTTCGTGAAGTTATCCCAACTTTGAACAATGTTGCTTTCGAGCTCCGAGTCGAGCATTTTCAGCGATACTGATTATGATGTTAGCAGTGAGGACGAGTGCAACTATAGCAACACAGATGAAAAGATAAAAAATGTGAAATACTTCCATAAAAAAATAATCAAACTGTTTTTAAAAAATAGAAAATATTATGAACAAATAAAAAAAATTGCACTTAGCTATATTAGCAAAATAGAAGACATCCAATTTTCGAATATTCAAAACAATGAACAACAGGGAAGCAATGAGCACATATACAATTTTTATTTTGACCCCTACGATGCGATTCAGCATGGGGAAAACAAATTAATATATTACATGCAGAATAGCTTCCACAAGTTTATTGATGTTATGAACAATTACTCAATTCCTTTTTTCTTTCGACTTATCTTCCTGAGTTGCTATTTCGAGTTTTTGTATAGCAGAGAGGTAAAACAGGACGTAGGGGACAGCGACTTTGGCAAGGGGAGAAACCATTCGCCTACCAGTCATGTGGACAATCGGGGGGAAGCTACGAATGCCCAGTGGGGATATACAGATGGTGGCGCTGCACATGGGTACGGAGATATCTTGAAGAAGGGGGAGCATGACGAAGCGACAGGGAGGGATAGCGTAGGAGAAGAGCCGAACGCGGGTACCAAGTGTGGAAGCTTAACGGAGGAGAATAAGAATGAGAAGGGAAAATGTCAAAATGGAAGCACGCCCTTAAAGTCGGATGAGAAAGGGGGCGCAAAACAGGGAGGAGAAAAAGGTGAAGAAGAACTCTCCCCCTACAATTTCATAGTCTACAATTTCAGCAAAGACAAAATGGTTATGGAAGAAATCGACATGTACAGCTCATGTCTGATAAAAGGAATTTTGTACTCATACAAAGATTATTCCTTTTTAAAAGATGAAAATACAAAAGCCAAAATAAATAATTGCTTGAAAATGATATTCGACAAACAAAATATAAAAATTATATGTCGAGTGGAAAACGTGCCCTACCTGCATGATATACATATTAGCTATTTGCAAGAAATACGAAATAAGCACATTGGGAAATTCATAAGTACAGAGGGGATAATAACCCGAGTGGGAGAAAAAAAAATATTAGAGGAATGCAAAAAGTATAGGTGTACCAAGTGTGATAAAATAATTAAAAAAAAAGCCATCCCTGAGTTGTATTATAACACGCAAATGGTGTTTAAGTGCCCCTATTCCCAAATCAACCCTAACATACCCCCCTCTTCCTCTTCTTCTTCTAAAAACAATTTGGTAAGCAAAGAAGTAAGCATAAGAAGGAAATATATGAATAAAGACATGGGAAAAGAAAGTAGGACGGGGAAAGCAGGGTCATATATTAATAACGGCTCCAAGTTTTTTAAGAAAAATCGTTTTTACGGCTATGCTAATTATAGGTCAAGGGGTTATTATGGCAACAAGCGTAGTAGCAAATGGAATTTCTCCTACAGAGCAAAATATTATAATAAAAATACATACAGTGGAAATAAATGTAATGGCACAAATTTCGAATTCTTAGAGAATGAAGTTAAAAGAGTAGACTACCAAGAAATAAGAATAAAAGAAACGAGTAAAACGAATATCCCCTATTCCGTGACGGTAGTCCTTTTGGAAAATTTAGCTGGGAAATATCACCCGGGAAAAAAAGTAATTATAAATGGCATTATTTTAAGGAGGTGGAAGAAATTGTATAAAGACATTAGGTGTGAATCGGAGCTGTTTATCGAAGCAAATAATGTTCAAATTAAACAAGTGGAAGGTTCAAGGGGTAAGGAGGTAGCACTGGACGACGAGTTCGCCAAGTGTATAAATGCCCTAACGAATGAGGCGCAGGGGAGAAGTAGCGGGGTGATTACTGTGGAGGGAGATCGTGCTACAGGCAAGGCAAGGAACACTAATGTGAATGATAATCTTGGGGGTGACCCCGAGGGGAACCCCACATATGACGAAAAGGGAAGGCCCATAAGATCAGCGCATGTGGGGAGTGGCTACTGTATGGGACAAAATTCGGAGCAGCAGCGGGAGCAGCTGGAACAGCCGCAGGAGCAGCAGCAGCGGCAGGAGGAGGAATGTGCAAAGAACCCACCATGTGGTAGCAACGTGAACAGAATAAAAAACAATCTGAGCGAAAATGTGACGGATGTAAAGATGGACGTCCCAGAAAGGACCCTGTTTGAAAAATATTGGCTCCTCTTCAAAAAGAATAAATTCGAAGGAAAGAGACACCTCTGTGATAGTATGTGCCCCAACTTGTACAATTGCAAAATGTCCAAGATAGCGGTGCTGCTGGTGCTAATAGGGGGGAACAAAATAAATGAGTCTGATTCCTTCTACAATGAAAATAATAAGTGGAAAAAATATTTCAACCGCAGCAATGAAGAGGCAGGCACAGCGAGTGGCGGCCATAGCGACGAAGACGAAGACGAAGACGACGGTGATGAAGAGGTGGATGAAGACGATGATGAGGAGGTGGACGAGGACGAAGAAGATAACCCCTCCAGTTGCGAAAACAGACGTGTGAGGAAAGCGAAGAACAGAAAATGGCGTAACGCCAAGGAGGGAGGACGCACAAGTCACGGACACGAAAATGCAGCCAGGAGAAGACGCAGAGGGGGAAAAACAAAGCACAGGAAGGGTAGAGGAAATAATTTCTCGTCTGACAATTGCGACAAGAGAACCTTGTGCCATTTGTTACTCGTGGGAGACCCAGGCACAGGAAAATCACAGCTACTCAAAGAAGTACAAAAAATAAGCAGCATTTGTACTAACGTGTCCGGTATGTTTTGTACCACTGCTGGCTTAACTTGCGCAGCCATAAAAGAGGGGAACAATTTTATGCTAGAAAGTGGAGCCCTAGTTTTAGCAGATAATGGAGTTTGTTGCATTGACGAATTTTGTCTAATGAAGAATGAAAATAAAAATGCTATTCATGAAGCCATGGAACAACTAACCATTTCAGTAGCCAAGGGGGGCATCGTGGATAAATTACATTGTAGGTGCACTATTATCGGTGCATCTAATTTCGAGTTACATAAAACGGCTACGGGAAATTTAGCTTCCTGTGAGGATAAGGTTCTCACTATTAACCTCTCGTACCCGCTCCTAAGCAGATTCGACATGGTTGTCATAACAGAGGACAATAATGAAATTGATTCGAAGGTTGCTGATTATGTGTTGTCACAGGATGTGCGGTCTGGTTGTGCTGGTACCGGTGGTTTAGTGAAGAAGGGGACAACCTTATGTCGCCGCTCTGTGCAGGACGGGGGGTGGTGGGGTTCGTACACGCTTGATGGGGGAAGCGTCCAAAAGAGCCCGACTAAAATGACTAATGAAAGGCGCTTCGCGAAAGAAGCACAACATGCAAATTTCCCTGAAGAGGAGGAAGGGTGGACCGGAGGACACGCCTTCAAAATGCCTCAAACAGAAGGCACCAAAATTGTGTGGTCTTGCGAAAAGCTCAAGGAATATATTTACTACGTGAAGAATAATTGCTCTCCAAATTTTAATAAAAACTCAAAGCTAATTTTAATTACATACTATTCCATGTTACGCAAGCATAATGACGGTGATAACGGAACGACCGTTAGGACGCTAGAAAGTTTAATACGGCTAAGTGAGGCGCATTCGAAAATGATGCACAGCGACACGGTGTCCTCTGACGATGTGATTAATATCGTGTTGTTATCAGAGCTAAGTTTGCGTGGGTATAAAATAGCCGCCAAAACGAACTCCAATAATATTCTTATAGCTAGGTCGGGTATACTGGACAACCTCAGCGACTCGCTGCTCTTTTATAATAATATACACAGCACACTTTACTCCTTGGACGATGTGTTATTCTATGAGTCGTTATACAATTATTTTAAAAAGCTCCTTTTGGAGAAGCTCAATTTGATAGAGCGCGGCGGGGAGATCCACACCATGGCTCTGTAAAGAAGAAGAAGAAGAAGAAGAAGAAGAGGGTGGATTCTTGCTCCCCCCTGCTGCTGCCATTTCGCAGGTCGTCTTTTTTCTCAATCTTTTTCGTGGCACACGATTGGGATAAATGGGTTTTATGCCCCTTTTTTTTGGCAAAATTATGCCCTTTTTTTTTCTTCATTTTTTTTTGGCAAAACTGAGGTGCATTCACTTCAATCGCAGCGTGCGGGGATTGGGCGCGCAATGTTTGCATGGGGCCACTTGTCACTTAATTTATATTTGCCCTCCCCTGCGTCAATTTGGCGCAGTCCCCTTTTTTTTTTTTTTTTTTTTTTAAGAACCAACTGAACCGTAAGTTATTCCTCGTTTACGCCCTCTTCGAAGTTATTCATTTGTTGACCCCTTCGTCGCGTGCAGTTTCCCCCTTGGGCTATTTGTTTAAAGCTAATTGGGAATTTTTTCTTGTTTTCATATTTTTTTATATATATTTTTATATATTTTTAGAGGGGGAAAGCAGAGGAAGGAGGGTGTATAACATTTGCTGCGGGGCGTGGGGGCAACAGCACGAGGACGGTTGTGCGAAAAAGAAATATACATATACATATATATTTATGAATGTATATAATGTACGGATGTTTGTGCTCTCCGCTTAATCAAACAAAATCACATGCAACTTGCAACTGTTGCTGCTTCCCCTGCGAAGGAAGAAAAAAAGGGGGATAGCAAAAGGGTAACATGATCCCAAAATGGATATAAAAGTGCTTGATGATGAAATTATGCTGTCTGATGGACGGGTCATAAGAATGCCCGTTAAACAAGCAGAGGAAAAACAGAATGAAAAAGGCAAAGGGAAAATAAAAGTGGACAAAGTACCAAACGTTTGGGGAAGCAGCGCAGGAGCAGGAAGTGATTATTTTGATCTGTACCGAAAGCAAAGAAATGAGGAAAATGAAAGAATCGAGCTAATGGAGAAGAAGTGGAAAGAATATACACAAAATCAAATATTCCAAAGTAAGCGGAAGGAAAAAATTGAGTATATAGAAAAGAAAAGTTTAAAAAAAAAAAAAAAAAGACAAATGAGGAAGAACAAAATTAGGGAGGTACGAAATAGTAAGAAGGCTAAAGTTCAAGGGGACAATGACGAGAAAGAGGAAAAGACCACCGACCAGGCGGAGGAGGAAGACTCCTGTCGTCCACGTGATTATGATAATTCCAAGGAGGTGAATCAGTTGGTCTCCTCCAAGAAGAAACATCCCAATCGTGCACCTACTGCTATTGATGCGGATGCGGATGCGGATGAGATGGTCAAATCTGATGAGGCAGAATCGGAAGAGGACGAGCATGATGATAAATTGGGGGCCCACCACCCCGTAGACACAGACTCCTTTCTCGTGGTTAAGGAGGGGGACGAGGAACTCTTCTAAGCTTTGGTGTGGACGGCACACATTTATGTCTTCACCCAACTGTCCGACCAACTCGCCTTAAGTTTTCCATTATCCTTTTGTCCACCTGCATTTGTCTCTTATAAGCCAAAGCAACTTTGAGCAGACCCACCTCGTTCAAGCTTGTGCTTAGCAGTTGAAAGGAATGGGGTTCATTCAACTGTGGGGTAAACTTCCCCGTTGGAATGACAATGCTTGGGAGTCCTGTGATTGATGACACGACGGAAAATATTTCTTTCATGTAGTTGTTATATCTTTCAGGGGTGGGTGGTATTTCATTCTGCAACGTACGATCAGTATGTGAATTGGTTGAAGAATGCTGCCCCTTCTGGGCTGTATCCTTTTCTAAATCTGGGCTACCCCCATGAGGGGTGCTTAAGGACTCTTTCAAATTGTTTGACCTTGGTAAGGAAGGAAGTAATAAAAAATTTACTTGGCCAAAAATTCCATCGAGTACTCTACTTAACCGCCGCTTCACATTTGCAAAGATGTGTCGTAAAGAACCATCTGGGAAAAAAGACGAAATTATGGATCCACCAATAATTCTCGTTAACACCTTTTCACTGATCAGAGTGGATCTTACATGTCTAACAAAATTTTTTTTTTCTAATTCATTATGAAGATTGTAGTTTATCCCATTCATTCTTGAGATATTGCTATTTGCCATTGTCATGGAATACAAATAATATATATAACAGTAATCACTTAACTGATACAAATCTGTATTAATAAAAGTTCCTCCCATTTGTTCAATATTTTGCCTGACCTGTTCATAATTTTGATACGTCAAATTATCTACAAAGTATTTTTTTTTTAAAAGTTCCTCACTTAGGTAACCAAATTTCATTCCTCTCAATGGACATTTATTTTCACAAAAATTGGGAGAAGTTTCAAACTTTTTTAACTTGAAATGAAAATTTTTTTCTTTCCCTTTAAGAGTAGTTAGATCATTTTTATCACCTCCTGAAAGCACATCTAAAAGGATGCTACAATCATAAACATTGTTTACTATGAGTCCTACAACATCAGTTTCTTCATTATAAGGGATGATGCCATATCTACTTATCCTTCCATAAGTAGGTTTCATCCCTATGCATCCACATAACGCAGCTGGGGTTCGAATGGATCCTCCGGTGTCCGTATTCACTGAACAATTCATAATTCTAGAACCTACACAACTAGCTGATCCGCCAGATGATCCACCACAAGATAAATCATTTTCATTGAAAGGATTTTTCACATCCCTTCCTGTACAAGATCCCATTGCAAATTCATCTAAATGAGTCTTCCCCACAATTACGGCTCCATTTTTTTTTAACCTTCTTACAACAGTACTATCATAGGATGGTTTATAATTTTCTAAAATTTTACTACCACATGTGGTTGGAATATTCTTTGTGCAAATATTGTCTTTTAAAATGATAGGCACTCCGAACAGTTGCGGTAGGTCCTCTAAATCATCACACTGGTCATAAAGACATTTTAGTTTTTTAATTTGCTCATATATTTCATCAACACTGTACAGGTAGGAAAAGCTGTTGAACTGATTGAGACGTCCCTCAGTGACGCTCTTCATTATCATCCGTTCAAGTATATCTTTTATTTTCTTATGTGAAAATATTTCTCTCCTAATTTGGTATACCTCCGAGGTGCACATCTCACTTGATCCATCTCGAATAGGTACAAAGTGTGTACCCTTTTTATATTTCTTTGTACTTCCCATATGTGTACATTTTGATGGGGGTAAAATGTACAAGGAGGTTGTAACCTTTCTGAGTTGTCTGCATTTCTGTTGGTGAGCCCCTTTCCTGAATGCCTTATTCCTTCCACAAATAAATTTTTTTTCATCCAGCTTAATTGCACATATTGTTTGGACGTTCATAAAAATGACCCCATGTAGTAGTAAGAGGAGGAACGTACACAATAGTTTTGTGTTCACTTGGAAGGGGCACCCTAATCGTTGGTACGTCCCCATTTATATGTGTAGTGTATAGTGTGTAGTGTCTCCTTCCTAAAATATCATTTTAAATGTGATTTTCCATTTTTACCAACTCGGGGGGAAAGCAACACTTATGTTTTGTGCTGCCCACACGCTGTGCGTGTACAACTGGGCTGATTACTTAGCAGAAGAAGTTTTGAGAAGTACAAAAACTTTCCATTGGGCTTACGCGTATTTGTGTGTGGGGGGGGGGGCGGTGGGAGAGCACAACTACATCGATGCATATCCCACTTCCAAGAGGAATTGTATCGAATTATTCTTTTATAATTCATGTGTTCATTTTGTTATTATAACTGGGTTGATATTTTCCCATTAAAGTTTTTTTTTTTTTTTCACAATTTGGAATGGCGGCTACGCGGAAGTTAGAAGCTATATATTGAGGAGTATTCCTCTTGTGACCTTTTATTGAAAAAGAGGGACGGACATTTCAACCGGCTCTCGTACAACTGTACTGCACGAAAGCAGCAACTATCGAAAAGTGCATGCTGCTGTTCCTTTGAGACATTTTAAAAATGGAAGAATCGAAATTGGGCGGTAACCAAACTGGGTTAAATTATATAGCGGTAATAAAACAGTTCGGTATGCTTAGCCGTTGAAACATTGCACTTTTTTTTTTTTTTTTTTTTTTTTT